CCGGCGGCTCTGGCTCTGGTCGCTGTGCTGAGCGGTCCGTTGGGCCAGAGCCGAAGTCGAGCTGGCCGGGCGGAGGACGAGCACGTATCTTCCCTGCCCGCCAGCCAGCACGTGAGGGCAGATATGAAGCTCACCTCAAGTGGTAAGACGTCAAGCTTGAAGGAGTAGAGAAACACGACTCTGCCCCCTCACCCCCCATCCCACCCTCCGGAGATAAAAGGCCCACTCACGGCGATATCTGAGGCGTGAAGGAGGCCGGGAGTCCGAGAGCAAAGAAAACTCAGGAAAATGACATCATCCAGCACTTGCTGATGATTAAGTATCTTCGGCATGGAAAGTCAAGATGCACGTTATTTTCTGGTGCAAATTTTACCAGATTTAGGCCAGAGGCGACGCAGCAATGGGGGGACAGTTGCCCCCCCCCCTTGTGCCGGTCGGCAGCCTTTTAAATCTTACGAATTTCAGATCAAGGGGCCTCTATAACTGAGGTAGAGGGTACTACAATGGGCTCAAAATACCCTTATCTGCATCAAAAAGCTCGTTTTCTAATTTCAGAAGGCCCTGTTGTGTGTTTAGGAGACTGACTACTTTGTCCAACAGAAGCTTTGTTCAAGAACGGGGCTCGGGAGGTCCCTTTGCTGGCTCGGAAAGTCCCGTTATGAACCAGGTGCTCACTGTTCTGCATTAGGAAGCACTAGCTATATATCAGGAGGCCCCTTTCTGAACCCGGGGCCTTTCTCATGCGTCATAACGCCGCTGGTCCTAGTCAGGATGCATTGTTTGGGAAAAATGTGACTTTTTATCGGACTTGGAGGCCCTTTTTAAACGATAGCAAGCCGCTTTTGGTTAAGAGGCCTCTATGCTTGAGGAGGCTCTTTATGGAACAAACAGCTGCCTTTTCTGTGTCTTGAATACCCTGTAGGGATTACTTACATACATTTTGTGTTCGGACTTTTTAATTGAATATATTTATCGTATGGATAATCATTCATACAATGGCAATACCCCCACGACACTGCCCAGGAGGTCGCTTTGAGGAGGCCCGTGGAAAGGTCGCCGCTTCCTCAAAATCTGTGGCGCCGCCCGTGATTTCAGGCAGCAACCCGCCCGTTCGAAACAAACCATACGGCCGAAGTGACTCTAAACGAGTCCGAAATCGAGTACGGGTCGCCTGTCCTATGGATGTTGTGCGGCGGAAGATCTGCCGACTCGGCGTGATCTCTCCCTTCGCCTCAGCCGGACCACTCGGCGTGATCTGCGTGACCTGTGTAACCCGTGTCGTGTGGAATAAAGGCATCAGATACTATCGAAGCGGGCTTACTCTCGGCACCCGCGTCGGTCAGTGGTCGGCAGCGGCGCAGGCAATCCCTTCGCTTCAGCGGGACCATTCGGCGTGATCTGTCCCTTGGCTTCAGCCGGACCATTCGGCGTGATCTGTCCCTTGGCTTCAGCCGGACCATTCGCGTGATCTGTCCCTTGGCTTCAGCCGGACCATTCGGCGTGATCTGTCCCTTGGCTTCAGCCGGACCATTCGGCGTGATCTGTCCCTTGGCTTCAGCCGGACCGTTCGCGTGATCTGTCCCTTCGCCTCGGCCGGACCGTTAACCGACACCGGCTATCAGGCAGCCGACGCTGAAGATGGGTGATCAGACTCGCTCGTGACGGGCGCCACGTGTTAGGGGACAGGCTGAGGGTCTGTTCGGCTCGGTGGACGCGCGGTCCGGCCGAAATGTTTGCGATTAACAGAGTCGGGCGCCTGGAAGCGTGTTATGAATGTGTTGACGTGGCCCGGCGCCCTCGAAACGAGCATTGAGTGATGATGTCCGCCGGCTGGACCAATAAACGCTGTCACATGGCTATGACACCGGAGCGTTTTGCGAACACCATGGGACTCCCAAGTCACCTATGTGCAAGGACCAGTCTGCGACTGCGCCACTGTCCAGGCGAGAAACCTTGACATTTGTTTTTTCTGCAAGGCACGCCTGATGTCTGGGTTTTGGAGACTCTCGTGACAAGCTCCTTAACATATCAGACGAGTATCAGCAGCACTAAAGTTTACTAGTGAATCAGACTGAATGACCAGACGCTGACAATCCAGCCCTTGTCTGATTAAGGCGCTGGCTCCCACGATGATAGCGTGATAAATCAACATCACGTCTTTGTAATCTGTGTTACGTCGGGAGTCAGTTGAGGCACGCCTCTGTTTTCTCAACATCCTCATGTGCTGTGTGCTTCACGCAGCACACCACGTTTGCTTTATTGCGAATG